CCCCCGCGGCTGTGGGTGGGGGGGGCGAAAAAAGCCGATGAAGCTGCTGCACGAGGAAGATTCAGGGAGGGTGAAGGTGTGGCACTGGGCAAGCCTAAAGATGGTGTGGGGAAGCTGGGATCTGATACAGCCGACGATAAGGTGGACAAGCTGCTCATGTGTTCACTGTTCACAAGACCACAAGAAAAGGCAGACGGGAAAAGACAAATATACAATAAACATACTGAGAGTGACAGAAGTAAAGGCAAAATGTAGTATTGCAAATTTAATTTTAAACAAGTAATTTCTAGCTGTAACTGGGCTAAAATTAGAACCTAATTCTCTGGACCCTTTAAGGACAGTGACAAAATGGCTCCATCTTGAATGGTTGCCAAGATATTAAAAATGTCTAGAAAAAAAACTACACTCATAAACAAAACTGCAATTTCCTCACACACCTCACAGATCCTGGCTTAGAGAACAGGCTGCTCTGTGGCTGCTGGGTGGGAACAGACACGGGTGCTGGCGCTGGGGCCTGACTGGGGGCTTGTTCCCTGGCCAACTCCATCTGTCCCATGTCTACTGTACCACTACCAGCCTCAGACCCAAAGTCAAGAGCTCCAAACTGCACATTCAGGCCAGATATATCTGTTGATCCCGGCATCTCTACTGCTGACGATGGGATCTGAGGTTAACAAAGAGGGGAGTTAAGTACAGTAGGACTAGGGAAATACATTAACATCAGTTTATTTATGTTTGTTTTTGTAAAAAGTCAAAATGATAGAAATCCAGATGATAGATGTGTGCAAATGAGTTATTTGCCAATTGAAGGGTATGTAAATAAGTTGCTAGTAGCCATGTTTAGCAGGTGTTCAGACTGAGTCCAGTAAAACGCAACTCCCTGCTGTTCTTATGCAAGGGGCTGCATTGGTTGGGGGGTGGGGGGTTTCAGGGGGAGTCCTGTAGGCATGTACGATACTGCCATGTTGTGACGAGTCTACATGAGTAGCTTCATTCACATTTCCAGCCTGCATGTATCCTCTGTGTTTTGATTAGCCATGCTGCTAATGTAGCCTTCTCTAACTCAGCAGCAATTCTACGGAAACTACACAAAGGTTCACGTCAGAGGAGGTTACCTTTGAAGGAGGAGGTACCCTGCGCCTCTGTGCCTTTAACTGCCGCTGAGGGGGTTCTGTGATGGGAGGCTCCATACCTGGCAGCTTCACTCCAGGAGAAGCTCCATCTCTTAAAGGTGGAGCAGAGGACTCATGGCCTGAAGGAAGTTAAAGGCAGCAGGCCCATTCATAATGTCAACAAAAACATCCAACCTGGACCAATACAATTATCACATCCAGATATAATGACGATGGTGATACTGCCATGATCAGCACAGAAAATGTTAGTGTTTGCACTGCTTACTTCTTTAGTACAGTTGAATCATAGTACAGTTGAATCATTGATCCTACTGTACTGTGTGCTAAAAATCTGTCTTTGATATCAACTCTATAAACAGTTAAACTATTTAGCAAATATTCAGTTACAACTCCAATGCCACATGCTATCACAGCTAACATGATAATGTTCTGTGGTCATACCCGGTGGTGTGGGGACCTGTGGTGCATGTGACTGAGACAAGCCCAGAGACTCTGTGCTGGGAAGGGCTGAGGACTGCTGCTGCCTCTGAGCCAGCTGGCTGAGCACTGCAGATGGCTCTGGCTGAAGCTTAATCTCCACTGAAGAAAATGGGGATATAACTATCACACTTCTTGCACTGTCATCAACAAAAAACTATTATGAATTAACAGTCATATTTTATTTATTTACTTTGAAATAAACTTACAGTGCTGGGCAGGGACAGACCCATTCTCCATGCTCTGGGCCTTGACATCCACAGTGGGGGAGGATGCAGGAACAGGACTTTGCATTGGAGGTGGCCTTGCATCTTTGGAAAGATTACTGTTGCTGGTGGCGGCCAATGCTTGACTGGCTCTCTGACTAAGCCGAGGGCCGTTGAGCTGCTCCGATGTCCTGATGTCCGAGCTGGGTGCTGGTTTAGGCGCATTCAGGGACCCAAAACCAGAGCCCAGGACTGAGGACTGGGAACACAAGAGAAGCAAATCAAAAACTGAGGACAATGATACTATATGATACTATATCAGTGTGTGAGCATATGATGCTATGTATGTGTTTATTGGAGCATGCCCAAGATTAAGTAGGTATAACCAACCAGAGCAGGATGTGCGCATGTGGCACTAGCGGAGGCAGCATGGGCGTAGCTGTTGGCTGTGGCGTGTGCGTAACTGTGCGCTGCAGTGCGTCCATTATGGTGCGAATTGGTAAACACCAGGCTTTGGCCCAAATCCTCAGCTGAGGGGCCATCGACTATGGCCCCCAAGTCAGAGTCCACAGCAACTCCTACAGCCACACCAGCCTTAGGCAGGAGGGTAGCCAGATCCACACTGGGGAGAAGCATGAGACAAGTGCGAGAAGAGTGGGAGAAGAGAGTTTGAGGAGGGTTGACAAGCCCATTTTTGTAGTGTTTTAAGTTAAGTGGACTTTGAGAAGGATGACTTACTTGTGTCCAGGTGTGATGTGATTTGCTGGAGCAGAAGAGGCAGTGAATACTTTGGTCTCAGACAACTATTAGAAAAAAAAAAAAAAAAAAAAAGGACAAAGCACAAACACAGTCAACCATCAGAATAATACAGGCATGCACATTGTACAGTATATTAACCATTCAGAGCCACACTGACAATTATGCCACATAAAATCACTGCCTCTTTACCAAAGGTATTTAATGAAATAACAGCAGGAGCAAATAGCACAAGACAATAGGCAGGCCAGTGCAGAATTACAGCAATGTGAACAAGCTCTAAAACATGCTCTCTTTTCTTATGAAGTGCTGCCTTACATCCTCATTCCAATCTTCTGAAGCCCAGTCTTCCAGATTGCCTCCCCACGTTCCTAAAAAAAAAAAAAAAAAAAACCAGTTCACACATACTCATGCCATCATGTAATATTCTAGGAAATCATCAATCCCTCCTAAAACTGTGATAAAAAAATATAGTGCAATGACTGCTTTAACTTGGCCATTTGAATACTGAAATCAGAAACTCTCACTGATCTAGGGCAAGTCAACACCAGGTGATGATATTTTTAAGCTAACAATTAAGGCCTTAGACAACAAAAGCAGGAAAAGGCGTTCTGTCCTGTTATTTTCTTTACCAGTTCCCTCAGCTGTTTCGTTGCCATCCCCATCCCATGTCTCCTGGCGAGCTCCAGAATTTGTGGTGTAGTCAGCAGGATTGAAGGTGCTGAAAGTGAAGGGAAAAAAAAAGACAACAAAGGTGGACAGACACAGAGAGAAGGTGAGTCAACAGAAAGGAAACTGAAGAGAAAACCTCTGGTCTGTTGCTGCTACTGATAACAAAAGATTAGAGATAAATTAAATTATTTTCAAAGAGGAGATTCAGAAACTTTATTTTTCCACATATTTGTTTTTAAGATATGTGCTTGCAATTCCCATCACCATCTCCTCAGGCTTAAAAGCTACACTAACACACATGCTTACCCCATTCCTTGGGAGGAGAACCTGTTGCCAGCAGCTGCTCTTCCTCTACCTCGACCACCTGCACCTAAAGACACACACAAGGCCCATGCCTTTCAAACTCACCGTCAGCAATATATTTACAGAGAAATCAACAATTTCATTTTATTTAAATAATAACTGCATGTGGGAGTTTAAACTTCTATATTTTAATACCTGATTTTTTTCTATAACATGGAATAGGATAAGAATTGTACTAGATAAGTAAATAACACAGCGCACAGTAATAATCATAAATCCCACCAGAATGTTACACAAATTTGTGCTGTCACAACATAACAATATGGGCCAAGGAAGTTTCTGGCGTGCTGTCTAGGTCTAAATAATCCAAAAAGATGTTAGTAGGCAATATCTTCAGATGAAGTTTTATTTTGGCTCAGTTTTTACTTTACACAGTGCACTGACGATGCCTTTCTCCAGAGATGAGGCATAACCAGCCACCTGACACCATTTCTTCTAAATCACAAATTGACTGACCGTACCATGTTTTTTATTATGTTTGTTATAAAGAAAGCCTACAAATTCTGACATATTCTTTCTATCTTCACCAATGTCTTGATCTATCGACCACCACTCCACCCACATGCAGCTGCAGAGACTGAATGCATTCCACACATGTTGAATGCTGCAACATTCTTAATCCTACAGAGACAGTAGAGGTTATGAGCTACATGACCAAAACATGTGCAATAACATCAGAGCGAGTTCCCTATCTAATGATCACTGAAAACATTTTCGGTTTCTCTTACCTCTGCCCCGACCTCTGCGTCCCCGTTCTCCCCCCCTCTCTCCGGGAGCAACTTCAAACCCGTTCTCCTCAAACTGACCTGGAATCCAAACAGAAACATACAGACCATGGGAATTAAGACCTTAACAACTCCTTACTATTGAACTAGAAGAGGACCTGTGAGCCTTTTTAAATTAAACTTCACCAACCTGTTCAAGTGGCAGCTTTCTGTTATTCAGACATAGGTCACTTTTACATTAATCACTGCTTCATTCAGACATAACCAGAACCATGACAGAGAGCTAGCCACAGTGTGTACGATATTTGCAATGTACACAAGATCATCATAATCTTGTATGTGTCTATCCGTTATTGCAGCTACATGCAGTTCAGACTTGTGGCATGTTGACAGTGATACCTAAATTGTTACTAGGGCCAAACCAGTAAGGTTGCTGTTGAGACTTTTACAGAAAAGTGACCAGGGTGATCATTCAGAAATGAAGCTGATGCCACCAGATGAATGGAAAGAACTGTCTGAAAGGTGTTTGACAGTAAAAACATCTTTTATCCTTGTCTTACCTTCACGCCCTCGGCTGATGCCTCTGCCCCTCCTGTTGGACCCCCCACGCCCACGACTGGCCTCCCTCTCTCCTCCTTTTTTCTCCCTGCTCTCTTTTATGTCAGAGGGTCCTCCTTCTTTCCCAAGGCTCCGCTTCTTCCCAACAGTTTCCCAGGAGTTCTGATAAAAGTTAACAGAATGAAGTAGTCTATAAATTACAATTATATTGTGATTAATATTTTGCATAGTTGATGATAATCTCTGCAGAAACCCAGTGGACTTGCCATATGTCATGTAAACACAAGCAAAAGTGTGTTTATCAATGTGGTCTGTATATAGACTCATACTGTGTCTGAGGTGCTCTCCAGGAGAAAATTGATGGCTCTGTTTACATCTTCATTGCAGTCATGGAGGGCTACCATGCACTCATCTTGAGTCTTCCCAGTTACTTCAATCAGCTGTGAGCATATAAAACAAAAACAAAAAAAATCACAATGTCCATGAATTTGTTGAAGATGTGCTGGTCAGTCAGAAGATGAATTTGTCTAAATGCATGTATATGTACATACACATTACCTGTTTGACCTTGTCTTCAAAGTCAGCATCATTTTTGTCATAGATCATTTGGGCTAAACGAATCTGTTCTGCTGTGGCCTGGTAAACAAACAGTTCAGTAAGAAACAATGGCACCTGGCCTAATTTTCATATTCAAACAAAACATCAGACCACAAAACACTGGATTTTTAAAATTCTCCTTAAAGTGTGAAGTTAAATTTTACATTCATTACATATTCTGCTTTAAATATCAGTATGATAACTTTCAATATTAAACCTTTTTGTACTATATTAAAAAAAACAGATTAGATCTTATGGCAATTCTTTAGGGCTGGATGCAGCTCTATAAATACAATAATGAAAACCAACCTGTATCTGTTTCTGTGGCTGTGTTGTTTGTGTGGTGGTGGGCAGCGCTCTGTCCCGAGCTCCCCGGGCTTGATTGCTGACCACTGAAGTCATCATATACAGTATATACAAAACAATGTATGTACAAAATAGAAAAATCTGGAGAGGACAGAGGAAAAATCAAATGACAGCCACAAGTGAGAAGGTTGCACTGAATCACAATTCCTAGTAAAATATAATTACTGCATAAATGTCCAATGCAAGTACAGTATGGCGAATATAAACAGACCGAGACTAGCTGTTGTCAAGTATACCATGTAAGACTATAACCCCATCTGTCGCCCCCGCCTCCGCGGTTAAATTTAGCCAACCAAGGGGGAACTGTCCGGGTGTCAACTTACAACCCTCCCTCAGTCTCCCACACAAAACACCGTGAGTGTACACCAGGATATGTTATCAGTAGCATGCATAATAACACTTTTCCCCCATCTGCGACATCGGAAAAGTGACGGCAATCTGGCATTAGATTCAAAGTAACGAGCAGCCACAAAGAGCCTGGGCTTTATGCCAGGCTAAACCGTGTCTAGGGAAATCGAAAGCATAAAGCCACCCCTAGATTTCATAATATAGCATACAGTAACCGTTTGTAAACTAACATTTCAACCAATTGACACCGTATTAGCATGGAAATGTATATGAAATCCACCTATGTGACCGTAACGTTTACTGTTTGTTAATCGTTTTGACTGACCGAAAAGTGTTAGACATCAAGGGACTGCTGACTGCATAATGTAAACTACTGCTACTTTATATGCTTTATATAAACTGTGTGTAACGTCAACGTTAATGTAATTGGTGACTGAAATATAATCATATTTTGATAACGTTATAAGTTATCCTGGATCGTAAACCGCAGCAACTAGCGTTGATGTTATCGTCAGGGCAACTAGCATACGCTAACTTTAGCCTGGCTAATCGCTCGTCTTTGTTCCGTGTCCGATGTACGTACGACTCCCACATTTAAAATGCCATATTATACTGGCAAAATATTCGCAGTGCAACTAAACCATTAACTAAAATGTCCGCAAATGCCCCTTCCTTTCGTACAGAGCCGGCGATAAATGAAAAAAATGAACTATGTAAGAAGCGCGAGATGTACCCTTTGTGTAAACCAAAAGAAAAGCTAACGATAGTCACTGAACTTCTGTGGCAGATTTAGCTAACGTTAGCAGCAGGCTACTAAAACTGAAAACAAACGAAAAACACTGCGTGTTACATTAACATTTACAAAAGTCGGTATCCAAAAAGTATTTTTATTACGAATCAATTAAATGTATGTATGAGAAGAACATATGAATAGAAATGTGTGGCACGTTACTGTTGAGCTGCGACAAATATCAGCAGCATGTGAATGGCCCGAACGCATATAATGCAGCACCACAGTTCGGACACAACGCTGGCTAGCTAACGACTTATTTAGCTAATCACCTAGTAGGGCGAACACCACATCAGAATCAATCGATCGATTTCCTTAAACCACTTAAAAATATATACAATAACATACTTGGTCACTTTAAACTATTTTAGATTATAAGAGCAGAACGAATATGTATTCTTCCTTTTACCTGCTAACACGCTTCGCTCAGCCAGCAGCAGCAGCAGATGCTGTCACGTGACTCACCAGCCCGTTGTTCAACGTTGCGAAGCTGACACTGCCAACCAAAACCCACCGACCTGGTCAGGTGGTTCAACGCCATGTCCCCGACGTGCGCGTTCCTAATTGGCAGCGCGCTTCGCTGTGATACGTTACTAGCCTGGCATCAACTGAAACGCTGTGTTTACAAAGAGTTTATGTGATTTTCCCATATTCATCTCATCTTGGCACAAAGCAAATGCCTGAAGTAAAACATCCTATACAGTAAATGTAAAGGAACATGTTTTAGATAATAGTATTTGTCTCTTGATGTTTTGTTTACTTTGACCAAAACAGGTTAGGCAGTGTGTTTCTTTGATGTTGGTGTAATAATACTAGCAGAAGTAATTCTCTAAAAATCACAACACAGAACATGTCATCTAATCATCAAACAAATTTAATTCAATCTTAAACCACCCCCACCCCCACCAAAAAGCAACCTAACTGAAAATACACAAAATACTTCACAGAAAACTAAAACAAAACAAAATACATTTTTAAAGGTGCACAAACAGTTTGCCACAAGTGAAAGTAAACAGCTCAGCAGACAGCCTAAACTCAGTTTTGGAGTAGGTTAAGAAAGTATTAGTTGTGCATCTTTGTTTTAGTGTATCATTATTGCAAAGTCAGAAATTTAGTCAAGTTCATCATCAACAGAAGTCCAACCCTAATCACACTGGGCTGGTCTTTGAGAAAGTCTTGTGGTGGTGTGGGTAAAGCACAACTTTAACAAATAAACCAGGAAAACTGAAAGTCTTTATCAAGCCCAATACCAAGGTCATGTCTCAAAATGAGCATATGACCACTTCCATGGCAAAAACACAAGATTTAGTAGTTTCTTTAAAGCAACAAAAAGTAAGCAAAAACAGTCTGAGTAGAAACTCCCTAGATTTAGACAAAACTTGAAAAAATGCACTCCTTTTAAATTAAAGTAAAAAATACAGCACACAGCATATCTCCATGTCAAAATGGACTTAGTAACAACCCCACAGCTGAGCTCAAAAAACAAACACACCCACACAAAACTACAGAATGCACAAACATACAGCACAAGTGTATTAATGCCCTGTAAACTGTTAAAGCTTAGATCGCTTGAAAATGTATAAATGTAAAAAATGAAAAACGCAAACAAACAAAAAACTAGTGATGCATTTAACTCATACTGTGTTAAGTTTTGTCAGCAAAAATCTTGTGCATTCATTATCAGCATGAATTTGCATAACTGGTAGGCTGCATTTAAAATGCTAATATTTCCACCTATTTTGTTTATTCAAACAACTGAATCTTTATTATCTTCTCCTTGGTTGTGTGACTGGTTATTATGTCTGTGTTTCAGATATGGTTGCAGCTGAGCTCTCATATTATGGACACACTGAGCCTTTCTCTCCATGATTTTCTCCAGCTTGTGGATGTATTCCCCAAATGCCTTTAAGACACAGAGACAGAGAATTAGGACAAAAGTGTGTAATCACTTTAAAATGCACACTTTGCAAAAGTATAGTGACAGGGCATAACAACTGAGCTAACAATTGTGGATTTTTTTTTTTCTGACCATATCAGGTTGCTGACAAAGAAGTGTCCCCTCTTTATGACATAAGGCTTCCATCTCTTCTAGCTGCTCCAAGTGGGCCTGGACAACACACCACCTACATTTGGAATGGGTTAGACAAATATCTATATAATTTATTTAGATTAATAACCTCTAGGTTGTAATTACTCTAATACTCCAAAATACACAGAAGGTTTTCTAAATCTGTCGCCAAACTAGTCTCTGAGATTTCTGGTACTTACTGGGCATCATCCAAGTGGTCCAAAGTAGACAGATGGATTATGGGTACAAGTTGCTGATTGCTGGTACTTTCTTGACCATCTAATTCCATAGGACTGTTTGACTGGAGTGAGCTGTTTGAGTCCCTGAAGTGATTTGAATGTACAGTGTGACACTGGCCCAAGATGCTTTCTGACTGTCGTGTTGAAAAAGAAGATACAGATTTGTTGTTCATGTTGTAAACATATTGCAGTGGCACTTGTGTGGCACTGTTTGGGATTTGACTGTGTGAGCTTGGTGAATCATTGTATCCAGATTGCTGGACCGAGGGAGAGATGGACTGAGTTTCAGATGTTTGCATAGAAGCATATGTTGAGAGTTTGAGTGGGGATGCAGGGGTTTTGCTGCCAAGGACTTCACTAACCGGCATGGTTTGGGGCTTCTGAGTGTTCTGTTGGTCCCACAGAGACACAAGCCTAACCTCAGGGATATGACCTTTCTTCCCACCTGGACAAGATAAAAAAAAATGTGTTCACATTCACAGTTGAAGTACTAGTTAGTACACACACTCAGAGAACTCACACTTACCTATTCCACAATGTTCATTTGTAGAAGAACATGTGTCTTTTCTTTGTTCAGTGTGATTAACAGCCAACATTGTGTCAGGGGTGGGAGGGCAGTGGGTCTTTGTTTGTGGCAGCTCCAAAAAAGACAGGTGAAATTCTATGTCCTCATCCTCTGCATTTTTTCTTGTCATCTGTGCATATGTGAGATGTGTACACGTGAGATGCTGTTTTTCCACTTCCCTTCTGTTATCTCCACCTCCTTCTTTCTCAAGCAGGCAGATGGAGGTGTTGATCTGTTCCCCTTGGAGGAACGAGGCTGTGGCGACCTGTTGGTCAACCTCAAGCAAGGAGATGCTGAGGGGGTCCATAATGTAGCTAAGGGAATCTGCATCAATTTCGTCTTTAGGTACACCAGACATTTTGGCTTCAACTTCTGTGTGGTTGTGTACGTCAGTGTAAGCCAGATTATCAGATAGTTTGTTAAGGGGCTCAGCAGATATTTCACTGAAAGAAGTACTGAGCGGTTGTGTGCTTGACTGGGCATTTAAAAACTTCCTTCTACTGGCATTAGCAGCAAACCATGGTTCCTTCTCTGTATGACTACTTGATGACACTGCCTGTGGGGTATTTTGCAAAGTTAACGGCAAGATATTAGATACATTAAGTTTTTTGGGTGTCAGGACCGTGTTGGTTTGTTCACAGGCTGGGGAGAAGGGTCGTTCTGCTGGAGCCCGCTGACTGGGTGATTCAATAGGCGGGTGGTTAAGGAGTTTGTTGCTGTCATTTTTGCTGTCGACAGACAATGAACTGTAGCTGTCAGGCCCTCCTCCCTCCTCAATACTTCGCATTCCATCAGCTGGGACATCTGAGCCATGCAGCCCATCCTCATCCACTTCTCGTCTGTTGTTTGAATCACAGTTATAAAACTCTACATTAGCTGGCATTGCACCTGTCATCCTATCTGTGTGCTCCGCCTCTGTTGTTGCCAACCAAGCCCATCTCCTCTCTCCCCTTTCTCTTCCTGCTGGCATCCTATCTTCCCTCCTGACTCTTCCTTCACCTGTTGCCTGCACTGACCTCCTCTTCTCATTTTCACCCCTTTCCTGTCCAAATCTTGCCTCTGTTTCTTTCCGGTCTTCATCAACGCCACTAGAGTCATCATGAGAATCCTCATCATTAATGTTATTGTAGCTTGTAGAGGTGTTATTTTGCAAGGAGATCGCACCACTGGAAACAAGCAACTGTCCTCTAGTATCATCAGCTCTAACCTGAACGCTGGCTCTGTATGCATGTAAAACCTCTCCCAAACCATTACGCATAGGGGAAGAAAGTGAGAAATGAGAAGAGTTTTGGAGAGAAGAACAGGTATATGGAAAAAAAGAAGAAGACGGAGAGGCATGATTAGAGGAAGAGAAAGATAGACATGTACAGGGTGAGAAGAGATTAATAGATGAAGAAGCAGATGATGGTATAAATTGCTGCAGCTTCTGGTGATATCGTCTAAGATGCCTTTCCCTCTCCTTATCGCTTTCATCAGCTGTTTGTAAATCCCTTTTCCTTGGTTTTTCTTCTTCACTACATGTGTCTCTGCTGCTTTCCACATGTCTCTGCTGTTCTATCCATCTTCTTTCCTCTGCTCTTTGCCCCTTCAAAGTGTATTTCTGGCTCTCTTTCTCTCTGTGGGAGAATACAGATTCCCTTTGAGTAAGAGATAAATTACTCTCCTGGGCTAATCTCTCTTCTTTTACTGTCCAAAAGTGGAGCTGCTCATCCTTTGGTTGTCCCAACACCAGCCCCACCCTAGCATTTTTGTAACTAACAGAGTGACTCTCAGTTTTATAATACTTTTCTTCCTCTCTCCCCCTACTTTCTCTTTCATCTGCTCTCTCCCTCCTCTCCCTGTTATCACCTGTTCCCAGCCAACCTCTAACTGGTGTAACGTGTTCTAGCCCAGCCCCTATTTTGCCCCTTGCATTTGTTTCCTTTCCCCATCTGCTGTTCTTGGGTGTAGAGCAGAGAATTTCACCCCCCGTGAGCAACCTTGTAGTAGGTGTGGTGGGACCCAAACCCTCTCTTTGCCTCTGTAATTTTGCTTTTTTAGGGGGACTTTTCCCTCGGGTGCCAACACTGCTACCATTGCTGCTGTTGCTGTTATGTTTGGGAGAATGTAATGTCTTGCCCCTTCCTCTTTGTCCCCTCAGCTCCTTCACCCTATGAAAAATGAAGTGAAATAACATCAGATAGCAATCACTGATCATTGCCACTATGAACCTGGATACAACTTTGGGTAGAGAGGAAGATTAAAACAGACAGTTGGTATTTACAGCTATTGGCAATTTTACACAGCCAATGTTTCCCTAAGTTATACAATTTAAAGCAGGATGAATGAAGTCCTGTAGGGCTGTAAGGAGCAAATAAATACCAATTCCTCCCATTACACCTACTCACTCATACACAAACGCTCATAAAACACTTACCGATCAGCGTATCTCAGTGTATTAAGCACGTGTTCAGTCGTTAAGTGACCAGGTGAAATGTTGGCAATCATGCATGTCAGTGAGTCACCAACAAACGAGTCTTTCAAAACCTATAGTACAATAAGAACAAAGGAGTCTAATGTAAAATACAGGGGAGTTTATTAATCAAACTGGACAAATAAAAACTCAGCAATGATCATTATACACACTTGTATCATTAACAACCACAATAAAAGTACTGAAAATGGCCAAACTATATATATATATTTCTACCTGGGTAAGTTTGCTTTGTCTGAAAGGTGTGTGTGATTGCTCCCGATCAAGGGACCGAATACATTCTTTAAGCTGAGAAATAAAATAAAAAAAACAAATTTACAAATGAGAAGGCAGGTAAAATCCCACCATACATCCACTAATTGTTTTTATGTAGGATTTTGGAGTGTGTGAGCATGTCTGTGTGAAGCTTACAGCCAACAGACTCTGGTTGATCTCAGCTCCCTCCATACGGCTCTGTCTGTCTGGTTCCTTGGTATCTGATGCCCTTTCACTTCCTGCCAGGTCCACAAACCACATTCTAAAGGCACACACACAAACACACACACACCTTCCTTAGTTCAGTCAGTTTACACTAATACTATTTCTACTACACAATAACTCTAGCAATGCTTTAAAGAGAAAGGACAAAAGGATCATGCCCTAATAAGCCCACAACATAACAAATCTCACTGGCTGCTGTCACTCACCTTCCAGCTTTCTTCTGGTTTGGACCTCTAAGTTGAATCTGAAGCAAGGCATGAGAACGAGAAGAGAGTGGATTCACTCCACTCATCCCCTGTGTGCGCTCCTCTATGCCCTGTGAAATCACCTTTGTAAGGGCAACAAAGAATGCAGGAGAAGGGAGAGACTGCAATTCAAAATACTGATAAAACAGAAGTAGGTGGTACTTAAAACACAAAAATCAGAATGTTTTTAAAGTATTTGAGGTACTTAAGAGTTTTCTGGTGGATCTGTGAGTGTGTAAGGACAGAATTAGCCGACCTAAGCTGCTCAACATAACCCATATTGAACTTGAATGTACACCTGATAATGTATATTTACTGGTGCGCTCTACTGAATACTTCAGCACCAAAAAGTATTATATCCTGTGACAACAGAAAGGAGGTTGATATTATAGGCAAAGTTTTATTCTATCATGGTGTACAAAGTCATTTGAGAGAATCAGTTGAAATACAATTAAAACATAAAAGAAGAAAGATTGTTCTGTTCTCTGCCATGGATATGGCAAACAAAATATTTGATAATTTATTTCTCTTTTTCTAATAACAAATCTCTGATTTTGGAATCAAAGTCTTCATAGTGATGTGTCCTAAAGCCTGGTGTGCTACCCTGAACACTGGCTCTAGGCAACACAGCATGGACATGAAGCAGCTTTAAAGAAAGAGACAAACCTCAAGCAGTGAGCTGACCGAGTCCACGCCGACATCACGCAGCCCTGCAATGTGAACCACTTTCTGACCATCTTCTCTGGCAAATAACCTACAAAGGCGAAATGAAAATCAAAGAAGAAATAAAGAAAGAGTAAAATCAAGGTTTTGCAAATATGAATTTTAAGAAAAGGAATCTATATACACTTAACAATATGTACAAGCATATGGTATAGCAAATGGCGGCTATATACTGTACATAACAGAAAATGCAAACATAGACACCTGCCTTTTCCTGTGGTCCAGCAGGTCGTACAGCTGGCCACAGTAGATCTCAAAGAAGCTGACATATACCAGCAGGGATGAATGTGAGTGTGTGGTGGACAGGTGAGAAAAAATGTCCTGCACTGCAAGTGCATACAACCCTGGTCTCCCGGGAGATGAACCCAACATGGTGTGAGTCTTCCCTGCACCTGTCTGGCCATAAGCAAAGCAGGTGGCCTTCCCTCTATGAAGCACAAATACAGATAGGAAGCACAGATTCACAGACTCACAGGGCTTAAACTCCAACAAATAACAAACCACAAAACTGACTGATTTGGCCTGAGGGGTGTTTGGACAGAAAGGACGGTCAGGTGACAACGTACACACCTCCATAAGTAACAAGGCATCAGTGTTAACCTACCCACTAAGCATGTGCTGCACTAGAGGATATGCTGTTCTTTGATATACATCGTCATTGGAGCTCTCCTCTCCAAAAACCTGGTCAAAGTAGAACCTGTGCTGCAGAGACAAAAAAGCAAGGTGGAAAGCACTGGTCTGACCAGTTAACCTAAAAGTAAAAATATAGGTTGATACTACAGTATGTTTAGTTGGAGACACTGATATTTGTGTTTTTAATTACAGCACAGCTCTAACTAAATCAGGTTTCAGACAACACATGTCACTGTGTCCTAACTGAACATCTACCTGTAGTATGTACTGCGTGAGATCCACAGCTTCTTTGCTTTCATGTACAATCACACACCCTTCACCTGGAGTTGCAACAACATCCACCTCTCCTCTCCTGCTCTCTTCATGTGTCAGAGGTCTCTTCCTCACACACACAGTGATCCGCTGCTCCCCCGATTGCCTGGAACACACACACCAATCAAAATGAGGATATCTAAAGGAAACAATGCTCATTATACAAAGTTATATTATGCAAAATTCATGCAAACTTCACAGAGACAATCACATATGGAATGTTAATTCATTTGCAAGTAGGATGTTAGCAGTAAGGACAAAACGAACCACTGCTACTGACATTTTGTTTACAGCACGAGGGAGACTCTGTGGCAGTCCATAGTTGTAACCAGCTGTTTTCTTTGATTCATAAACAGGTGTTGGTTTAGCTGTGTGCCCAGAAGCCCCATGACAGCCTATTCCAGTAGAGAGCTTTTCCCTCCTAGAGATTTCTTTTCTGTCTTTGCGCCCAATTGGTTTGCTCTTAAACCTCTTTGATGCCACAGTTGCAGGCCTGGGTTTTGGCTTGTGGAATGAGACATGCTTTGGTGACAGTCTGGTGTAAGACATGGAAATTTCTCCTCTGATGTCTGGCTTGGTGGTTCCTCTCATATGATGATCAGATGGATGACTATGGATCCTGTGGTTGTTGTTCCCTTTGCAGCCACATACCACAGCACTTGCATTGTCAAGCTGAAACTGCACAGGTATGGCCGACACTTCACTCTGGATTGAACAATAATTTCTGTCTTGCCTTGCATAGTCATGAACAGTGCCTACAGGATGAGAAAGTAGCTTCTGATGATGATGATCACTGCTTTCACTGCTGAAATCAAGCTGTCTGCGAACACATGATGGTTTGGCAAAAGGGACTGTGTTTAGTTTATTGACTGCAGCACTGTTGTCTTCCTCATTATCATTTACATCTTCATCAGGATCTCTACAGCCATCAAGAATAAAACTACTGTCCACTACAGTGTAGCCTTTATCCCCACCATCAGCACCATAATAATGATCATCATCTATACTCTCCAGGTCAGTTTTGACCATTTGGACCAGATGGAAAAGTCTTGTCCTGTCCTCCATAGTGTGGATTCCCAGGATGGGATAGTCCTCCATGGTCAGCGCTGAAAGGTGGGCCATATGGCAGACTCCCATGGAGATAAACCTGAAACGACAGGAGATAGGAAGACAGATATTCAGATAGGGAGAAGACAGGGCAAGAGAGAGGTTGAATGTCCTGCAGGTGAGTGTGCTTACCTAGCATAGTGACGCTGTAGTCCAAGTGCACTCAGACACTCATACAGACAAAGGGTCATTTCCTGCCCTTCTTTTTCTCTCTCTTTTTCTTCTACTTCACTCCTCCTACCCTGTAAGTGACAGATGTGTCGTTTTAGTCTGTCCATCAATTGGTCACGAAAGCAAAGGTAAAGATAAAGAAATTATGTCCTTGCTGTTTACTCTCCCTCAGCAATTTCTGTCAGAGACTGATGGCCAGTGGTCAGTCAATGTGTCATTACTACCACATTGCACTGTTGTGGTGGTATAGTAAGCACAGCACGAGATATTGGTATGATGCTGAAATTTAACACTTGGTCTGGATGAAGCCCAGGCAGCACAGTGTAGTCATGTCACATATTTCTGTATCATAGCAAATACAATAAATATAGCAGACACAGACAAGCAACTGTTGCTTCTTTGGCTTCTACAGTAGATTGGCTGACAACTGCAATACTCCTGCCATATGGCACTTGTGTGTAATTCTCTTCATATGTCTACATAAGGTGAGATTAATGTGTTTATGGTTCAGTCATCCTACTAAAAGGGCAGGTGTTCATGAACTTCCTTCAGGGTAATGCGTGTTGGAATTTCCTGTCCTGATTAGTAACTATTAGTTCTGCGAATGAAAAGGGGGTCAAACTGCATTTATGGCTGCAGAAACTAAAGGGGGGATATATTGAGAACAAACCCACAGCCCAATATAAAAAATGTTTTCTGTGTTTTAAAAAGGTTTCCAAAATCTAAATAAACATTAGCCACACTTAGCCTACAATAAACAAATGACGGTGCGCAGCAAACAGCTTTTCTAAGTGGCTAACTGTAAAGCTTTTACGTTTAGGTCTAAAAGTATTAAGACTATAAAGCTAATAACCAACAGAAAACTTACCAAATTCAAGACTTTTTAAACAACGGAAGACAACTGAACATGACGTTTTATGTGCACGGGAAAAATGAACTGACAAAATGCATAAATTTTTCACAAAGTGTAGCCGTATCACTATTTCCGTACACAGAGGAGGTCTCCATAACGACGAAAACGATTAGTGGAGGAGGCTCTCGGCTCCTGTGCAGGCAGGGCCCGAGCGGCGGACCCACGGGTTTATAGGACGTGAATGCAGAACTGCGAGAGGACAGTCGGTCAAATTACTCACAGTTCAGCATGAAACAGATAATCCCTCAGAGAACTTAATGCCCATTAACAAACCTACTCAGACAAAACCCTTCTGAGACTAAACCATTAAGACATTGGCTCTAAAGTATAGTGTATGGGGAGCTGGTAAACTTACTGCTGATGGAGTTGTATTTTTTAAAACACTTGGATTATTATTACATAATCTAACAGTTGTATTACATAGAACATGGTTATAGACAGTACAACTATAAACTGGCAAATTTGTTTACCCCATGTATACTGTAGAGACAGGCGCAGGGGAAAAGAAAGAAAATTATTTATATATGAAACAAAGACAGTAATTAAATATTACGTAAGATATAATAAACATTTATTCTATGACGAATATTATACACCTTAATACATGCGTAGGCTACTTTGAGCATACGAGACATATTTCGTTTGCAAAGTAGGTTAAAAAATAAAATGTAATAAACAGGAAGCCATGAGGTGACGGAACCTCGTTCATCGATCCTTGTTTTACTGGGGACAACATTAGACGTTACACACAACATTTGCCCTTCCTCAGTCTAATCAGATTATCGGCGTTCTCGTAACGATGACTAAGGCTAGTCTGTATATTATAATTTGATACATGTCCAAGTTAAAATGATCCTCCTGCTTGATATAGATAAATCACCACATTATTCGCGTGAATTATTGTAGCGAGGTAAAACTTCATTTCCTGGACGGGACATGAAGTTTTACCTGGCTGTAGTCAGAGGCTGCTAGACCCATCCCGTGAGAACGACATTCAGAGTCAGAGATGTTGACCAGACTGTATAAAAATACTGTTCAGTTTAATGTTTGATTGGATTGTTAGGGAAAGGAGCTATATTAAAGAGATACTACTTTTCATGCGTGGCTGATATGATGTTTTTCTTCTGTCTATGCCTTATGTATGGATCTTATGTGCCACTTTTTTTGTCCCATTCAGAATTTATTTTACTTGCACAAATACTACGGTTCCAAGCCAAGTTATGCACTTGAAATCATTTTTGAACCAGGCGAGAAAAGGCAGCTGTATTCATGGTGAAAACAGATTGTTGCTTAACCTGGGACAGTGAGACGGATATAAAATGATGATCAGTTGGTGGAAATGCTTAACATAGCAAATTGCCTATTTTACTGGATTTTTTTGGTTATTTTTAATCACTTCATTTGCTTAATTTACTAATTCCAATGTCCTAAGGAAGTTTGAATTAAGTGTAATAGGTCTGCATCAAACCAGTGGTCATTATTATCTATGTATTTGCTAGTCATGCTCTCAAAGTTAATTTAAAATGTTTTAATATTATTTATTACCAGGAAATCTGCTGTAAGAAGTGATCAACATGTCCACTGAAGAGGAGACTTCTCAGATTTCCCCCTCCTCCTCCTGTTCCTCACTTCCCCCTGCCTTCCATTTCATTGGGAGGAAGGAGGACATTGTCAGGGCTGGGCGTTTGACCAAGCTGGTGAATGGATGCAGAGATGTACTGGTCCTGTACCACCAGGGACAGCTTCATGCAATGGACATGCGGTGCTACCGTAAGTGTCATTGTTTTGTTGACATAATGCATGGGAAAATGATTGTAGATATTTGTTTTTTTTCAAGCATGATTTTTGAAGTGTGGAATTTACGTTGTGTAATTGCTTGTCACAAGAAACACTGCTGTGTAAGATGGCACTTGTTTTTCTACTGACAGATTCCAGTGGTGCATTACAGTATGGAGACATTGAGGTTAGTTACCTACTATTTTCTCTGAATATTGGAATATATTTACTAAAAAACAATATATCAGGCAATATTTGACACACTGTCATTGTAAATAGCCATGTATAACACTTATAAATATTTAGTTTTATCAGTTTGTTGCAAACCTCTTCTTCAGGTTTCCCTGTGTGTAAAAAAACCCAATTTCTTATAAAATAATGCCTTTACCTCTCTAATGTCCTTCATGCTGTATCTTCATTAGGAGTTTAATGGGCAACTGTGCATCGTGTGTCCCTGGCACAAGTACAAGATCACACTAGCAGAAGGGGAAGGGCTTTACCAAGCTGTGGACAATCCTACAGCCAAACCTATGAGAACTCACTGGTGCTCCAAGGGTGTCAAACAGAGAATTCACAAGGTCACAGAGGTCAATGGTGATGTATATGTAACACTGAATGACTCCACGGAGACCATCGAGTCAGACGTCTATCAGACTGAGAGATACAGGGCCGTCATACTCAAGGCCAAGACAAAACCCAAGCCCAAGAACTAGTTTGATTCTGAAGGATTCTTTGATTATACAATGAGAAATGTTTCTAGGACAATTTGGGAAATTTCATTTGCAAGTGGATGAAATATCTGACAAAAAGATCCAGAACTTGTATTGGTGATAATACAGTTACAGACTCACTGAAATTGTTAATAGACTTCTTTTGTTAGACAATCTTTGTAGAACAGTGTCAATGGTTGGACAGTTGAGCGGACCTGGATCTCAGAGGTGACTGCCAGTACAAGCCAGGTGGGCCAGCCACTGCTTAACCTGAGCAAATACAATGCAGATGCTGTATGTCCAGCCAGATATTTGATCTTTGCTTGGATAAGGATAGGGCATCAAGGATGCTTTCTGTTAAGGGAGGGCTAGGTCTGGGTAATGGTGTTGCTCTTTGTAGGCTCTGAACATGTGTGACGGGATGGCCTGACACCCCCCTCTTTGGGGCCAAATAATGGGTAAACATCATTTAACTCATATACTGAGCTTCCATATGAATTCTCTCCCATTCTTTGGCACATTTAATTGTCTATTATTGACTGCTACCTTTGATTCTTAAAAGTATATTTTCCCAATAATGGTTATATTGTTTTACTTATATACGATTAGTAATGCAGGAATTTACTTGTAACTGAGTATTTTACATTGTTAGATTGCTACTTACACTTGTGTAAAAAATCCTAATACTGTTTCTAATCAGGCAAAATAAATAAAAACAACAGTGTGGGTGTACCAGTGCACTATAGAAAAATAGACAGTTGGTGGCAGCAGTGCCCCATGTGGGCTTCATTCTGTTATAAAAAGTCGAAGAAGACAAACGTCGAAGGTCGGTCGCGTCCTGATGGCGTAGTAAATCGCCGATTTTGGTTAGAATAAAATAACACCTTATACTTTGAGATTATTATATTACAGTAATAGTAGATAGTGGCTGTTCTGGTCCACACTGTAGTCTAGAAGGTGACGGTAGCGCAATTAAAAATGTTTGTCAACCGCCATTGAACAACCGAAGAAGAAAAAAAAGCCTCACCGATTGAATGGCCATAAATGTCAGCTTTTACTAAATTATACATTGTCAGAATATCCATACTTTAAAGTTACGTTAAAGTGTAACATTTCAAATCAAAGACAGAAGCCAACGGGATGGCATCAGGTAAAGTTATGTTTTCCTCAGCATGACTGATACAGATCATTCAATTTACAGCGAGGGGAGCTTGTTGCTGTTAGCTTCCTTACTGAACAGAGCTGCGACATGTCGTTAAAATGTTCCCAAACTGTCTGCAGAGGATGAAGCTAATTTGTTGGTCATCGTCATTGATGTAAATCCCATATGGTGGGGGCAGCAGGCTCAACGTGAGCCACAGGTAACGTTAGCAGTTACTATCAACATAGATATTATTCAACATATAGCAACACCCCTGGGGTTTCCAAATGCTGGCTAAGTCTGAACAGCATCTGCTGCCCTCCTATGTCCGTCCAGTTTACCCTGTCGAAGTGTGTGGACGCAGTCCTGGTGATGGGGAACTCCTACATGGCCATGGCCAGGACAAACAAGCTGGCTGTCATTGCCAGCCACTGTCAGGACAGGTAACTAAATACTTTATTATAAGGCACTTATGTATTTGAATATATTAATATTGTTCTATTTTATACGTTTATATACGTACTCATAGGTGCATCAGTATTAACAACCTAAAATGTGACATGTAATCACCCATAGGACCTTTACCTGTAATGGAGTACTGGTACTTAAAATTCTGAGTACTACTTCTTCCACTACCCATTTTCCAGGATTAAAGTGTCAACTGTCTTCAAGAATTGAATGCCTTGCAGTTGTCATCACTTGAATGCTCAGCTCTCTCACTTACTTTATTTCAGTCACTTCTTGTATCCCAATAAGACCTGGAGAGCCGGGGACAGTGGTGGGGATGACGCACCCTCCAGCGGAGATGGAAAATATGAACTCCTGTCAGTTGCCAATAACCTTATTGCTGATGAGATCAGGAATGTTATGTCACAAAGTAAGTATAATGTCTTTGCAGTTAATATATCATGCCTTTAGCTTTATTATAATGTCATAATGATACTCTACTCTTTGTGACTCCTGAAAATTCTTGAGTGTCTTATGTGTTTACAGCTGAAGTGAGGGGGAATTCAACAGATACTTTGTTGGCTGGATCCCTTGCCAAAGCTCTCTGCTGTATCCTTTCAAGCAAATCTTCAAACAGTTTAACATGGTGTCACATATATTTTCATCTGTAAAGAAAAAAAGCATCCTGACCTGGATAAGTGATATACTGTTTATGACAACCTCACAGCATAACGTTTGCCTAAGGAGCATTACAACAGTGATAGAATGTATCAGTTATCCAGTTATTTTTTGGCCTTTAGAATTACGTACTGTCACTGCTGTTGTGTTGGAGGTGTTGTCATCAGTTGACCACTTTACTGGTCAAGTTTAAAGAAATGACTGCAGACTGATATTCATGTGTTTCTCTGTGTGAAGTAATGAGAGTGGCTGAATTGTTTTCCAAATTTCCTTAAACTGTTAATATTCAGATATTCACAGGGTCTCAAAAGAGCTGGAAGGTAATTATTTTTCAGTATTAAGCCTCATAGTGTTCTTTGTTAGATGCCATTTTTCTTTTTGGCACTTTTTTAATGTATGTTTTTTTTTGTTTGTTTGTTTAGTTGGACAGGAGATGAAATCAAGAATATTAGTAAGCCCCGACTGGCCTAATTTCATGAGTGCTTTTGGTTTAGTCGCCTAACCTTAGACTCAGCCTCTCTGTTCATTTTACTGACTAGGTGATAAAAGCAGCTGAGGACTGTGCCCTCCAGTACATGAACTTCATGAATGTGATTTTTGCTGCCCAGAAGCAGGTAAAATCTTACAACCGCTTTCCCACTTTTCCTAAATAGGTATATTTACTTCATTTATTTATAAAAGTAATTTTGTTTTTGCTGTATTTTAAAACAGAACATCCTGATAGACGCCTGTGTGTTGGACTCAGACTCAGGTCTCCTTCAGCAGGTATATTTTACTTTAAGACAATCACAGTATTGCAGTTTTACAGCACTACACCCTCGACAATATTGTGATATATAGTGCTGTCCCTGAGCTGAACCTAAAGTACACCAAACTACTTGCAGTATGTATGGAAATAATATGTAGACAACAATTCAAGTAAGATGAGAATCCATGTTGACAGGCTCTCACACCATTTTGTCTTCTTTGTTATTTTAAAATGTTGTAGTTTATTATCACTGGCTTAAGGCAGGCCCTGGGTGTGGTGATGCATGGTGCTGCCCTAACCTGTATACAGCCAAGTTTTTTGTTTTTTTTTTTACCTTAAGCTGTATAATTTTTAGGCGTGTGATATAACTGGAGGATTGTACCTCAAGATACCACACAAGGTTGCCCTGACACAATACCTTTTGGTGAGAGTGCAATACAGATTTCCACATTTCTGAGAATATTATCTAGTACACCTGTGCAGGCAGGGCCGGAGTGGCGGACCCACCTGTCTGTGGAAACGTCTGTCTGTGCTTTGTGCTGACGAGGGTGTTTTCTGAGCAGTGGGTGTTCCTGCCCGACACCGAGGAGCGTTCACAGCTGGTGCTGCCGCCGCCGGCACACGTGGACTACAGAGCTGCATGTTTCTGCCATCGTAATCTCATTGAGATTGGTTATGTCTGCTCAGTTTGTCTATCAAGTAAGTGTGATCGCAGTAGAAACTGTGTATACCTTTTTAATAGTGGTAAAACGCTGGACTTCAAGTATGTTTTTGTTGTGACCCTTTTGCTTGTCTTCTCAAAGTATTCTGCAACTTCAGCCCCATCTGCACAACTTGCGAGTGAGTCTTTTTGCAAATTATACAATATCTGGATGCAGAAATCATTCCATTCCAGCCTTACTTTGTTTGATGAAATATCTAAATTCTCTTTTTAGGACTGCCTTCAAAATCAAACTACCACAGATGGTTAAGCCCAAAAAGAAGAAACTCAAGCAAACTACATGATTTATTTTTTTCCATGTAATTTCACTAATATTGCCAGTTTAGTTTTTGTCATATTTAGATAAACCATTTTGTTTATTATAGATTCATAACAAGCTTTGGTGACATCCCAGAAATGCCTGTTGATGTGATTAGCTTGATGGTGGAGGCTGATACTTCACTGTTTTATTTAATTTTATTTTCTTGAATAATTTACTCAAGATGTAAATTATTGCTTTTTGGGGGAAAATTTAACTTTCTTCATTTTTGTGATGTACATTTTTTTTATAATAAAAAATTAAAGTCACATGAAATGTTTGTCAAATCACTTTTTTCCATTTTCATTTCAGTGTCAACTTAAATAGATGATCAGATTCTACAGCTCTTTTTACTCTTTCTAGGTGAATAAATCGTGATGTTGAGGTGGAAATATTTTGCTTAATGGGTCGTGTTGAGCTTTCAAAAGGTGTTAAACTGGAAATAATCTTAAACTTCACAAAGAAAGGTTTGCTTAACATTTGATGTCATCCTTTTCCTAAGAGTTTAAAATAAGCCTTTGTTGATGATAGTAGCAAAGAAAATTATGTTGTAGTCTCCAGTTATCGCTTTTCAAGGCCTGTTCATCACTTCAGATCTCTGCCAGACATTTATACAACTGTTTTGTTTGGGGTTTTTTTTTGCCACAGATATCCTCGATTCCTAGAGGAAATACCCTTAGTGCCATTTTTTTATAACAAAATTACCACCTAACTAAACTATATATTAATAAAATGTGCTAACTGCAGTGACATTTGGTGAATACTTTATTGTTCCTCTGAAGACAAATGCTCAACCTTTAATGCCAACAATCAATTGTTTGTTGTAGGATTCGAATCATAGTATGAAGTAGCAATGAACTCAGCATCTCTTGCCTGACTGAAACATTTTCCTGTATCCCATTCAGAAGCCTGCACTTGTATGAAGGACATTTTTCCAGTTTTGATTAAGATACTGAAAAACTGCATTATGTACAAATTCAGTATGAAACATCCAGAGTAATGTAAATGAAAGTGTTTCACAAAGATCGACACACTGTCGTGGTGATCATCGATGGATTGGAACAATGTTGCATCTGAAATCAAAAGACAGAACCATTTTATATATGCTAATACCAGCTGACGGCTATTTATATCATGAATCGCGCATCCTACGTGGGTGTGCTAATGAATATTTTACCAACATCAATACAGAGTAAAACATGTGTCTTGCACACAAAGAAAACACATTTACTCAGCTCACTACAAGTTTTTTGGCATCTTTGATCTCTTGGGCTTCACAGCCTTCTTTGCTATGTTGCCACTGTTAAACTCTCAATTGATAAATCTGTGCAAATTTGAACACAGGATTGTGACTATGGCACTCACCCCAGCAGACCTCTGCCTGACCATCGCTGTGGAGTCAGGCTCATGGGAGTTTTCTGGCCGTCCCGGATGACTGTGACTCGTAAGGGTTTCTGCACAAGGACATGAGTTCACACTCCAAATAATTAGCATGCTCACCAAAATGTTAACTAGAGTACCTGTCAATGACACTTAAGGCAGGCCATGTAAAAAAGAGAAAATAGCAAGACCTTTAATTCTGACCAATATAATTTTTTTTACTGTCTACGAATAATAAAATGTCACATTTGAAGTCACATTTCAAATTACATTTGGTTTGAGTTTCTCAAGTACAAGTGCCTTCATCATTTCAAGTGTCAGTTGTAAAAAGAAAATGTCAATTTTAGCTGCAATCTCTAAGATTTCATAACTCTTTCCGGGAGAAATCTGGTTAATATTTTTTGGTTTTTACACAATAAACTATCACAAAATTTACCACAACTCATTTAAAGTGACGAATGATGAAATAATATTTGATTTACTCCCAGATCAACGGATTAACTCCGTAACTTACCCCTTCACTGTGCTGGACCACAGTAGCGATGTTCTGGAGGTTCTGAAAGTTCTCACTGTTCACAGAGCCAAATTCAATGACTTCATCACCAACTCGGAGTCCCTTTAAAAAAAAAAACAGACACTATAATCACAGCAACATAATGCATGACGTATGGTGGTTTACATAGTTCACATAACTCACAGCTGCACAGGCAGGCGAGCCTTGTGTCACAGCTTCCACCCGTGCAAAGGGAGAAGGCAGAGTGACCTGTTGCTCCATCGCCTCATCCAGGGCTTCTGCCTCTTCCTGGGCTTCTGCCTCATCCTGTTCCCGCTTAGCTTTCTCTCGAGCATGGAGCTTGTGCAGGGCTTCTTCAATCTCCACCATGATGGCCTTATGATCGTTCTGCAGGCCTGAAAGACACAGTTGAGGCACTACCTTTAAATGACAGTATGAAAACATTTATTTATAAAAGAAGAAATGTACTGATATCTGATATAGAGCTGCAACAATGAGACAAACAAAAATTACAAATTTCTTCAGTATGAGAATTTGCTGCTGTTCTTCATTTTATATTATTGCAACTTGAATGTCTTTGGGTCTGGACTCTTTGATATTGTGAAAAGCATTTTTCATTGTTTTTCTCATATTTTACAGATCATACAAATAATCAAGAAAACATTCAGTATAACTGAAACTCAGACAGTTCAAGATACCCATGTCCCTGCTGTCACAGACAATAAACACGGTACTGCTTACATGAAATATTGTGTCGAGCTGTCCTGATTTGGTATAAATTAACATCTGCTCGGGGGTAGCCCTCTGCGTCAACCAAGGGGCCCGCAACTCCCACACCTTGCTATAAAGTAAAGAAATGCAGACATGTTTAGCCTTGGGTTAGCTTTGTGCTACGTGTGCCCAACTGATTACATCACTACCGACTTACGTCTTCTAACACATCGTAATAAGCTTTTATCTGTTCTTCAATTTCTTCTTTCTTTTTAACAAGGTTTTTAACATCATCCATTGTTACTTCCAAGTTTTCAGAATAGTTTTCCTCTGCCATCCTCATGGTTGTTTACTTCTGGTGTAATGTCGAACTCTTCTTCGTCTTTTCCTCGCAGGTTTGTGATAGCGCAGGCGCCTAGTGCCCCCAACTGGTCTAAGAAAAAAATAATTACGCACACAGATCAATCAATTACGTTTTAAGTGCTGTCCTGTAGACACCAGGCACTTAATAATTGATTGTCAAGCAAAGCAATGTTATATTTATGTTAATATCTGCTTTTACTTCTTATATTCATAGTTAAGCACATTATGAATATCTAATACAGCCAGAGCATGATATAAAAATGTAATATAATTAACTATATCTAGAATAATTTGTATGATATGGTTTTACATTTTTACAAAATTCAATTAAATTTTTAGAATTCTTATAAAGTGAAATCATATGCTCTTTCATTGGAGAACCAAAATATATGAATATACAATTGTTTTCATTTCAAAAGTGTAACCGCTTGATTCAAGCTGTCCTTTATTACTCAGACAATTCTTCACATACAATATATAAAACAAACTTTAAGTTCATGTATTATAATTGTGTGTGTTGCCTATTGCCATCAGTTTCAATAGTTTTTTTTAATGAATTTATGACCAAACATCTCTTCCATGACACATTAACCAACATTTACAAAAACAAAACAAAGAAAACTTCTCAAATAAAATTCAACAAACCTCTGTTCCAACCCCTACAATAAAATACTTCATCTCAAAATAAAATTCTCACACATTTACACTCAATTTTCATAATTTAAGAACAGAACCACATCACTTAAGCACTGGATTCAACAACTCATAGCTATTTTAGTATCTGGCTCTTATTTTACTTTGCAAAACAAGTACACAAAAAAATTACCTGTTGACAAAATGCTTCAGAAAAAAAACAGCTTAAAATGAATGACAACAAAGCACAATATTAAATCATAAGTCAACTTTAATATTGAATATAATCATAACATAAATCCCTTAAAATTCTTCAGAAACCTTTCAACAGTTGTGCAGTACCTTCTCCTCATTATGACAGGTGTTAGTGTTACAAAGTATTTTAAACTATTTATATCATTTTTGTGCAGACACTGAAGGCAACATTTAAAACAGTTACACAGCTATGAACATGACTCAACTAAAAATGCACCCCCTGACTTGTAGTGGTCTCTAAATGGTGTCTAATATTTTCTTCTGTACCCTTTTTTCCACAGCATTCTGCTTATAGGCACATTGGTATATTAGAAAAAAATCTATATTAAACAGGCACTCCTAAAGTGTTACAAGAAAACCCCAAGTGTGTATACCCTGAGTACTTGCATATTACTTTTGATCATTTCTGTTACTATAAATTGGAATGTATGTTATTAACTACCTTAATAAAAGTACAGATCATTTAACTACAGCTCTGTGATAGCTACATAATGTAAGAAGCTTCCTTCACAAAGTTTTCCTTCATGTTCCACCAGCTTATAAATCCAAGCTTTTAGCAAATGGAACTTGTGCAAAATCGGAACTGACAGTTTATAAGGTACAACGGACTAATGCAGTCATGAATTAAGCCTACCTTCAAGAAGGAGACCACACTCTTTTTAAGTGAAACTAACTTATAAAGGTGTTAATTCAACTGTACAATCAATTTGGAAAATGTCATCTGTGGGACTGCTGAATTGTATTGTGTTATACTGAGTGGTGTTTCTATTACTGTCCACCCCCGATCCATATCAGTAAGGCTAGGCTAACAGAACAGAAACTCCTCTCTGTATAATGCAATACAGTTCAGCATTTATACTGAGTGGTGTTTTTATTACTGTCCACCCCCGATCCATATCATGGTGTTTCTATTACTGTCCACCCCCGATCCATATCAGTAAGGCTAGGCTAACAGAACAGAAACTCCTCTCTGTATAATGCAATACAGTTCAGCAGTAGCACAAACTACAGCCTCCAAAATGACCACGGGCAGGATTTCTTATAGGACTGTATTAGATGGCACTAATTTTAGCTTGGTGTAGCAAATAAACTGCAAACTAAATGTAAACCTGTGCTTCTTTTTGCAACTTGCATAAGTTAGTGATGATGATTAAAAATAGTCAAGTACCAGATTAGGTGTTTTTATGAGTATAGCTAACAGTCTGTATCTTGTGGACCTACATGTTGACCTGTTAGCACCAGAACAGACTGGTCTTTGTCATCCCCTTGTGGTGATGCATCATGAGATGAGGCTGAATAAGCCTGTGACAGCTCAGCCTGAGTGGCTATCTCCTTCTGTACCAGAGAAAACTGTGCTGTTGCCTCATCCACTTGTGACTGAACAGCTTGCACCCACTTTTGTAGCTGCGTGTTGAGAGTATCCATCCCTTGGTCCAGCTTCTCTTGTCTGCCTTTTAGCTCTTCTAACAGTTGTTGTGTGTCACTGGCAACCTGTGACCTCTTGTTTCCTATAGAGGGAGCACGCTGACGCAACATGTAGCTCTCAAACTCTTCTGGACTGAGGTTGAGTGCTCGTCCATCCAGCTTTTCAATGAAGGCCACAGCACAAGACTGAAACAGGGAAGACAAGCACAAGCATGAGTGATCAGCGAACCTTGTTACAAAGCACTGTGTTATCTGTAATGGAGGAGTGACTCTACATTCAACTTACCAAATTTGTGAAATAGTAGCCACTCTCTCCAGCCATCAGACTGTGAGGGAGACCAAACCGAATCACATACTGCATATTGGAGTGTAAGCGCGGTGGATTTGCCTTCAGCACCACATAAATCAGGCCCGACAGGAAATCATCAGCGTTAGCGGGCTCGCTGTTTGAGGCGGAGAGCCCTTCAAACACATGCTGACTGCATTTGAACACACATGCAAGTTTGTCTTGAGGTGCACGTTTGGCATCCATTTCAATTATGGCTGTTAGAAAAATACACAAGACAGGACAAAATGGTAAAGACTAGCATTTTAGACCTTGTAATGAGGTTTACAGCATGTGTACAACTTACCACTGTCTGTCATGAGTTTAAATGAATTATTCAGCATTATGGAGAATGCATTTCTTTGCTTTCTGGTTGAGAGTTAGGTAAGAAGATCAATACCACTACCTCTTCTGTCGGTTATATGTATATACTGTTACAGCTAGCAGCCTGTTAGCTTAACATGAAGATAGGAAATGGCTAGCCTTGTTCTGTCTAAAGAAAATCTGCCTAAACCTCATTAATTGCAACGAACAACAAGGCACCTTTTTGCAGTTTGCTATGTGAGAGAGGTATCAGTCTTGTTATCCAACTCCCTGCCAGAATGCAAATAAGAATATTTCCCAAAATGTATTACTACTCCTCTCAATAGTGAAGTTGTGAATCACCTGTTATAGCAGGCAAGAAGGGGTCACTTGTAACAGCTAACTTCTTATTACCAGGAATAGGTACACACAGCATCTGTGGAGTAACCCAGTTTAAGGAGCTGCAAAGTAAAGAGAGTAGTGTCAAACAATCTTGATATGTTAGAGGCTTTCATCAAACACAACACAAGACACTTGCATATAAGGGTTACCGTATCCTTTTCTGGAGAACCAGGTCCTTCTGTTCATCATCACAGCTGTCATGGCAGAAAACCCATTTGTGCAGCCGTGTCATTATTAACTTTTCTACATGTTCCATTATCTGAGCAACCTGTGCCTCAGAAAAGCCTGAAAACAAAAATAGCTTTTAATATTCTTATGTGTTCAGAATGAACACCCCAGGAAGTGCTGAAATGATCTGCACTTACTACTAAAATGTCCAGCAAAAGACTGGTAGAAATCTTGCACAAGATCTGACTGCTTCTGGACTGGCAGGTCCTGTAAAGATGATAACCTGTGAGCGAAAGAGCTCTGACATATATCAAAGAAAAATCATGACTAATAATAACAATAAAGTGTAGTGTTAAACTTTTAAACATATAATTACATGGTAAGCCTCCATTGTCTTAAGAAAAGCTGAACACTGGGAATGCAAGCGTTGGGAGGGAGGGCTCCGAAGTATCTTTAGGAAACCAGTGAAGTCCCCAGGCTCAAGGCTCTGGTAGGCTTTTAATGCATTCATATGGCTTTCAGAAGACTCTGGATGGATAAAAAGCAGACCTTCCAGAAAAATGGTTTTGTTGTCATCATACAACTGCAACTAAAAATCATGGACTGAAGAGGTGGCGGATGTTTTGTGTTGAATATTTGTCTCATGAAGCAGGATTGCTGAATTAGCTGCTTTACCAACCTCATGCTTCATGAGACAGGCCTCAGGCCAGCCGTAAAGCAACAATTTAATTATAGGTGGCAAATACAGACCAAAGATTTCCTTACCTCAAAATTTTTGCTTTGATTTCAATAAGAAGAATCTTGGGACACATAATTAGCAGCAATGTGCATCTCAAGCTGTGAATTGGCTGCACTTTTCAATTCTGCTTTTGTTTTTCTTGTTTTTCTAGTTACTAGCTCTCTTTGGTGTGTTTTGCTTAAGGCTTTACATCATTTTGTTGCCTTTGCTCACAACCTTTTTTAAGCAATATAGGTGGTGTGTAAACCAAAAATGTTAACACCACTGCTAGTGCGAGTTTCACCCTATGGCAACACAACCAAACCATCTGCACACATTTTTTAATTCAATGGAACTGATGCACAAAACTATAGTACACAAAGGTAACAGGGCTACCTTGACGTTTTGGAGGCGATGGGCTACCCCAGAAGAGTCTCCTCATTGTGGTAATTCGACGGCCTTTCTCAGTATTTTTCTTCTCCTCAAATTTGTAGAAGGTGGGAGGAGTTCCTTCGTTACTTGGCCTACAAGGAATGACAACATCAGACACCCCAACCTAAACCTAGTTTTAAAAGCACTTAAGCTGCCTCAAGCCAACAGAAAACATTTTAGAAGACAGTTATATTGACAAAGCACTTATACTCAAGTTATTACTAGGTACTTTATATGTGTTAGCAATTAAGTTACCCTTACATATTCAGTATTAAATTAATAAATTACAGATTTTATAGTTATTTTAGTCATTTTCTCATGAATATGTATAAACAACATGCATAACAGTGTCCTCCAACATCTTTTCAAGTAATCATCAACGTGGTAACTATGAAGTTTGTTTCATGTGGTGCTTAAAAACTGACAAAATTGTCAGGCTGATTGCTCTACTGAGTGTGCATGTTTTTGCCTTGTGTCTTCTCTCTGTGCTTCAGCTGGACGTGCTTTCTCTCTCCAGCACTTGGAGCAGAAGCCTTGCCAAGCAGGGTTTCCATAATAGCCACAGGAGTTCTTGCAGAGCAGCTCCTCCTGAGAAACTCTGATTCCTCTTTGTTTATCCGTCCACATTGTAAAGCTCTCTCAAATACTAATTTGACCTGTTGAGAAAAACATTAATATTGCAACAAAAAAAGTTTGTTAATATTCTCTGGTGTATAATATCATTTCTTGGAGAAGCACAACCTTTAAAAGACACCCAGTTTCTTCAGTGTTTGTGGCTGCAGAGGTTTAAATGTCACAAGCTTGGTGTTCACTACACTATTACATCCTGGTTCATCCTGCTCCGGCACATACATGAGTAGCTATGTACTACATATATGAGAGCCACAGAGCTGGGGCTATCATTAGCTGAACAAACAAAACTGAGCTTATGAGAGTTGAGTGTTGGCTAACGTTACTAGCTAACAGATTTAGGAGCTCGACAACAGCTGACAGTCAGCTGAGGGGACTGGAGATAAGAACCGCCGGCTAACGTAGGCTAATGTCAAGTGATTAAAGTTGACAACCTACTTCAGTTAAATATATAAACCAATTCGTCCTGTCTCGAAGTTATAAAGAAAACATCCAGAAGTTTACGTTCTCAAATATTTAAACATCTCCTCACCTGTCAGCTAGTGAAATTATTAGCTTCTTCCTTATCTTTTTTCAGGTCACAAACTCCTCATAATTCGAACAATGACAATGTCAATCATTCAAAACACGGTCAAAATGATCACATATGTACCGAAAATGCACGAACCAATTAAAACAGCAGCGCCGAGATATGTCCAGACAACTTCAACAAATATACATTCCACCAGCCCTGGGTTTCTCTATTTCAAGTGTGTGGAACCGGAAAAGTTGTGCTGTGGAACTCCAAAAGTTAGCGTTAAATCATGATTTAAATCGATGTTGTTTCGACACTGTATACTTTTTTCAAAATAAAAGTACAAAGGCAAGGCATAGCGATTCCCGCTTCAAAACGCCGTAATAACGTGCCCACCTCAAGACGCCCGAAGAATCTTCATGTTCGTTTCGACCAGAGCCTCCAAAACCTTGTTATCACAACGAGTGTCCCCATTTGTGCTTCACTTGAAATTGTAATTTGAATATCTCAACAGGAAGTGTTTGTATGCTTATTATAAGTCCAACTTGACGCTCTTGAATACGCTAACACTGGAAAAGCGCCAACATTGCCTTCTAGTGGTCACAATGCGTAACCACTAGAAGTTATAAAAGTCTCAATCCAAATGTTTTTTAACTGGAAGAATTAACTATCTAGGAACGCTTAACATTGCACATAAACTCTTAAAGACTTGTGTCACATATTGCCACAAGCCAAGCTAAGACAGTCAAGCATTAGAGATAGTGGGGCTTTTCCACACTGCCTTCAAGTGAGGAATTGCTGCAAGACATTAAATTTGCCAATTTGCTTTAATGGAAACATGACAAGTGGTCTTTTGCAAAGTAACCATTAACTATGCAACTATCTTATTAAATCGATGCTCAATTGTCATTTTAAATTGATAGGCTTGACCGGATCGTCGGTTGTTTTAAAGCGCTTCACTAGGTTTTCCCTGTCAGCAGTAACTAGGCAACGAGACGCTCTCTTGTAAGTTAACGTGAGATTTTGTGTTTTTCCATACAATAGACCAGTTCAGTTAAGTGCACAGTTCTCAGATATACCGTCGTAGACCGTTCACTGAAGGTTAATTTTACAAGAGCTGCAACACGTGTTAATGTAAATTTGTTGTTTTTCGTTGCCTAAATGTTACGCTTTGGCAAGTTAGTTTAATGTGAACTAGCGCTAGCTTTAGCGTTAGCAGTTACTTAGTGGCCTCAACCGCGCAGGACAAGGGGGAACGCTGTAGAAAATAAGTGGGATTGATAGTCCGAAACGTGAAGTGTGTGGTAAGACATCATGTCAGATGCTGAAGGTAAGGAACATGAGCATTCGACAAGCTATAAAGTGGGAGAGAAACAAGTGCAGGACAATCAACCAGCAGGTGATGATATGGAGAAGCCGAAGAGCAGTGAAGAAACAGAGGAGGGTGCAGGAGTCAGAAGAGGGGAAACTGAGACTGACACACTCAAGATGAATGGGCAGTCTCAAGTCTACACTGCAACCAGAGACACACTTTTCCCAAAGAAGATAACTCATACTAGAACACATGCTTTGGTATGTCTTATTTGAATGTTTATTTTGCATAAAATGAGTATTGTTTGTTCATTGACCTTCTATACCATTTTCTAAGATAAAAAAGATATTTCACTGGCTCTTAATAATACTGCAAACGTGCTCTTCACCTAGTCACTAGAAAGGGTATTTGGGATGAATCCTGCTCTTCCTGTCTTCAGTCTGCAAGACCACGATCAGCTTGTGGTCCTTTATGCTGCAGCTCATGTTGGGATCATATACAATCACACCTCAAACTGCCAGCACATACTACAGGTAAAAATGATAATTTACCTTTTGATATCTTGAGGAATATGTCATAAAAGGGAATGTGAGAGTGTGCTTTAGATTCAATTAGTGCTATGAGTAAGCTGGGTAGCTAGGATGACAGTAGTAACATGCTAGTTATAGAGCCGATTTTAAAAAAACTTACTGTGTATACGCATTAATGTTCTCAGGGTCACTGCAGTCCCATTTCATGTATGTGCGTGAGTGAAGACAGACGTTGGATTGCAACAGCAGACAAGGGAATGAACTGTACCGTGATGATATGGGACTCCTACTCTGGGTAGTAACTCTTGACTCTACATGTATCAAGGCATTTTTTTATGTATGTACCTTTGTCCTTGATGGTAATGAGTTTACCATAACAATCCAGTATTCCTGTGCATACATTCTTCAACTGCCATCCTGAGGGAGGTGTCATTGCAATGGCATTTTCAGGAGACGCAAGACATCTGGTAACTCTTGGAGCTGAACAAATTCAAGTGAGTATAACATCATGGTTGGAATGAACAGATTCAATTAAACATAAAAATCCAGACTGTAAACAGTGTTATTTAGCTTGTGAAATGCATACTCTATGAGAAATACAAATTTATTTAAAGTTGAACATTCTGGTCTTTTGGCTTATGATGAAAAAGATGAACAAGAAACTAACATCTACAGCAGGGGTATTCAACAAATTCTGACACAGGGACCCACCATTCTGACTAAGAAGTAACCTCAGGACCACTGTTGTGGGGTGGATAGACCAGATAGGCACAAATTTAATCCTGAAAGTCACCTGGGCTTGCTAAATGTTATATATTTGCATGGAATTGATTATTCACAAGCACCAAAAGTCCTACACTGAAACTACAATGGCTTTATGGACCACTTTTTGAAAATGCATGATCTACAGGGCTCGCTCTAATTTTGAAAGAGTTCTAAAGAGGGTCTCTTGATGCCATTGTAATGTAAAATATTAATCCGTATATTTAGCCTATTAGGATGTCATATCATGATTGCGATGTGTTTTTAAGGATTTATGTTAAAAATGATAAAGTATGTAACTTTTTATCAACATTTCAATAAGAACAACCTTTCTAAATTCATCCAATTTAACAGAACACAAAAGAAGGTGGGTGATTACTGTTACATACTTGATTTGATAGCATGAAAGAGTAAATATCTGTCTAGAATAAGCTTTATATCAATTAACAACCCATTAACCATACAATGATGTTTTCACAGTGTGTGTGTATTTGGGATTGGACAAATGAAACAGAAAAGCCTTTGTGGTTTACTGACATCGACCCTAAACATGGTTTTCAAGTAAGTTTATTCTTCTTTTAACACTTCAATATTACCTTACTTAATAGATATATATAGCATACAAAGATAAAATATTAAAATGCTGACTTGCTTTTCAGAAGTACATCATTTTTAATCCAAATGATAGTACTCAGCTGCTCAGCAGCAGTGAAAAACAGGTGTTATTATACAGGAGGGTAAGTCCAGCTGTTGTTCTTTACTGAAATACAGCTGATATGTGTGTGTTTATTGTATTAATTAGCTGGTCTTTTCTTAGGTGCAGGGAAATCTGCAATACATTGCCCTAAAGCATAAGAAGGTAAAGATAATGAGTATTGAATTGTCAGAGTTTGTTGTGTCTTTCATGCCAGTGAATATTTTGATGATTATTTAACACAGTTTTTATCTGTTCACCGCTGTGGTTCTGTGATGCTGCTGTATTTCCTTAGACTTCTCATGATCCTTCTCAAGCTCTCAACATAACTGGTGGGCCTGTGTTTCACTGGAGAGAGCCTCGGGTACTGACAGCCTCTGCACCAGGCAAACTTGTGGTATGGAATTTGATGGACCAATGCCTGCCCGTCGAGAGAGTCAGGCACGTTTACCTCCAGAAAGAGCCGATCACTGTTCTCACTGTAACTGACAGGTAATCAGAGCCAGAGAGATTCATCATTGTTGCCTTTTAAATGTTGCTTGTATTTACTGATCTCTAATCTCTTTATGTTTGTGTGCCATATGTTGTCACAGCTGCCTTGTAACTGGTGACACTCAAGGCCATATCAAGCTTTATGATGAAAACTACACGCTTCTCACTTCCTACTGTGACTTAAATCTGGATACTATTGCTGCCATTTCCTTTTCCAAAGAATATAGAGAGGGATATCTGGAGGACTGCACCACAGAGGCCAAACCATTACTTATCAGGTACAAGAAATAAAATCTGTTATGTCCTCAGTCTAAACAGTTTTGTGCAGCAAAATAAACCCAGATAATAATCTGTTTTAGCCAAGTTGATCATTCTTTTTCTATAGGAACTTTGTTGTGTCCACTGTGAGTTCCATAGTGGTGCATGTGAATACACAGAATGGCATCCCTCAGACTCTGTTGCATGAGAACTGTGACCCTCTACATGCAGTGGCCTGCCACCCTAAACAGTCAGCTGTGGCCATTGGAAATCAAAGGGGCAATTTAAAACTGTGGGACTATAACAAGAATGTGATCATCTGCAGCAGGGTCTTCAAAACACAGAAACAGATTCAGTGTATCACTTTTGACCCTCAAGGTGAGCCAATATTCTAACAACTGTCTTTGCAACAAACAAATGATGTCACATATGACAAGTGTTTTCCAGTTGCTGCATGAATTTGGAATTTGCTGTTACATTCTGCAGCGTAATGAGCTGCCTTTTTTGCCTCGGAACAGGATCATACCTGGCAGTTGGCTTTGGCAGTGGAGCTGTTCATATCCTGAATCCCTGCACTTTGCAAAGTGATCCAGAGGAGTGTTTCCATTACACTAAAGATAGCATCCATCACATCACTTTCTCCTTAAACTCAAAGTATCTTGCCACTGCGGTGAGCATGTCCTTTCTTATTAGGAAGTGTATATCTGAACTGTGTAAGTTGCAAGAGTGTTTCTGGACAGAAATTTGTGATATAATGTGTTCTAATTGTTTAAGATGCGTTGATGAAGTAATTGGGTTTGTAGATATGGATTATGGATTGCAAATCTAAACTTATATCTTAAAGAATGACATTGTGGCATGTACATTTGGTTTTTTGTTCACTGTTAGGATGCTGGAAAAGCAGTGACAGTGTTCCATTTGCAGACTAATAAAGACTCTTTGCCTCGCTGGATGTATCTGGGCAGATACCACTCCCACTACAAACCCATTAAAGACCTTCTTTTTGGGATTGACCTGGACAGCACCCAGCCCAGACTGCTCTCTCTGGGAATGGACCGCCGACTGGTTAGTTTGCTTTGACAAAGTTGCACGACTCTCAACTAGTGTGATGTTTTGTCATGTTGTTTTTTTTATGCCAAATGGGTGCATATGTGGAATTGACTAATAGGTGGAGTATGACCTGGAAAACAGTAACGTGAACCACCTCCTCCTCTTACGCTCGGAGCGCATTGAGCAAAGTGCTGTGCCGACATGCATGACTTGGTACCCTACTGTCACGCCAGAGCAGTTCTTTCTCATTGCCTCAGACCAATACAAGATGAAGCTTTTCAACAGCACAACCAAGATGTGCAGGTCTGTGAAATAGTGTGGCAAGATGAGATTTTCTGTTTCTGACTGTTGTCACTGCAAATTAATGGAAAACATGATTACATATGTTCTACAAAAACAGAAAGACTCTACTTGGTCCAGCATATGGCTCTCCCGTTAAGAAAATAGTGGTACTTCCCATGCCTAAAGAACCTGAGACAAACTCATATTACCTGGCGTTCATCACAGAGGACAAGGTCAGTGCTGGAATTTCTTTGTAGTATTTTAAGTAATCTGGTTGGTTTTGTTTGTGGTATTCTATTAAACAACTTGTGGTATAAAATCAAAACATCTGTATCTAAGATATCTAATTTGTTTCTCTTAAAAAAATAAACCACTTGCATTTGTCATTTATTTGGTTTATTAACATACTCATCCTGTCATTGTTAATAAAGGATCCTCAATCCTTTTTATTGGTTGAGTGTATGGTCACTATCACAAACACTTTGTTTACATGTTTATCTCAACAGTTTCCTGCAGCGTTTTTCTCTTTTTTTAACTAATTTATTGATCTGTTGCCTGTTGTCACAGTGTTCAGTTGAGAAAAGTTAGGCAGATATACAGTATTTATAAGGAACATTTGAAGTTAAAATGGATATAACAACATCCTCCTGTCGTGAGACTTGCCCTTGGGCTTCTGAACCATATTTAAATTTAGTCTTGTTTTGAGCTGAGCACTGTTTTGGTCAAAACACAGTGATTCACATTACTGATAATACCACTAAGAGAGTTGCATTTCCTCTAGGTGGGGCTCCAGATATTGCCACTGGATGGCAACCCTTACAAGTCCAATGCTTTGATCTGCCATCCAACAGGGGTGTCTGCTTTTTCTTGCTCCTACGACGGCCGATATATTTTTACTGCGGGAGGATCTGACTGCACTGTCTTGTCCTGGGAGATAAGCATAAAGTAAGTTTTAATAGTAGCAACCTGTGAGCAAGATGAAATGCTTAAGTAGTGATTTTGTGTTTGATGAAATTGGCCCTCCCTCTTGTTGTGAATGCAGTGCGCTGGAGGCAGCAGCTGCTCTGGGAGGAAAAGGCCTGGAACCCTTTTACACTCTTTTAAAGGGAGGGAGAGATGGGAAGTTCTACAGGGTGAGTTAAACATTTTCCTAGCTCCATACGGCTGCTGGTAGGCCATGTTTTCTGCCTGCATATGCAGTACCACTGAATTGATATTCCAGCAATTTTGATTTATTTCCCTTTTAAAGCAGTTTACCTTAATGGTCAGGATAACAGATTTGGCTTTGACATATGCATTTTGTTCTAATTTTACATAGGTTTGCTTAGTTTATTTTTGTGGCCATATTTTGCAAGTTTTTACTGTTTAGCAGTATCACGTCACAGAAATGTTAAACACTATAGAGAACTGAAAAAAAAATAGGTGGTTGACCTATTGAGCACTGGATGCTTTTGTGGGAATGTGTAATGTTCAATATACAAATTTTGTCTACCTGCTACTGGAGATCATTAATTATATCCATACATACTGTATATAGTATAGCATTTATATAGTTTTTTTCTGGATTAAACTGTACAAGGCGATAAGATGAAGATCTTATCTTTTACTTGAAAGTGCATTTCTCCTCTAGCTCTGCCTGTTAGACAGTCATTTGTGATATAGTTTTAACCATACATTCTCAGTTTTCTTAGCTTTTCTGCTTTTAGGAGATGGAGGATTTTTTCTATTATTGCCAAATCCGTCAGCAAGGCACTGAGTCAATGGAGAAACGTCAAGTGTCCACCAGAATTCTCCTGTCAAACATTCCCTCTCTAATGAGAGCACTGGCCTACTTTCCAACTGAGCAAGAGGTACAATCAGTGTAATTTTATCTGAGAACAAAAACATTGAAAAAAGCGGTTTTAAACCTCAGAACTGTATCTATAGAGAGTTTTATTATTTTCTCCAGATAGAAGATATGCAAAACGAGGTCAAGTTCAGCAAGTATGCCGAAACAGGAAAATATGTGACCGACATCGACCTGGAGGAATTTATCAAGCTGTATGTCAATCACCGGCCAGCCTTCGACATGTCTAGAGATGAGCTTGTCCAAGCATTTCATGTCCTTGGAAACAATGACAGTACAGGACAGCCTGTTCTGCAGAGAAATGAGCTCCTAGAGCTTCTACAGGCTCGAGGTACGCTGCAGGATACTTAGTCTGAAAAGGAAAATAAAGGAAAAGTGACTGATCTGTCTGTATTCAGCTCATCACATCACTGAAAAAAATCTTGATTCTCTGTTCCATTTTTTACATACAAAGCTTATGTTTCATTTCAGTGTAGCACAAAGTCCAGTATACTGTATGCATATTTGTAACGTTGACAGGAGAACACATGACAGAGGAGGAGGTAGCAGACTGTTTTGCTACACTGTTAGGCCTCAATGAAGAGAAGGAAGAAGTAGGAGGAGGCGAAAGAGGAGGTGAATGTCCTGAGCATGACATTTATAAGTCTGACAGCATGTGAAAGAAAGACTCAAAAACCTTAAGAATTCCTGTAACAGCTGAAAGTATTATCACATTTTGATGTTTGTGTCCAGGCAGAGATCCAGAATATTCACTGGAGGGTGCGATCCTAGATGAGATATCTATGGAGACATTTACAGACCACATCCTGGGCTTCCCACCCTCAGCAGAGCAGAGTGGCAGGTCTTCCCCTCCAAAGTGATGAGAGCACCAGACTGTCTGCTAGGACAAGCTGAGCTGATGATGACCCTCAGACTCTCTGGTGATTTTTTTTTTTGTTTTTGCCTAGGGCGGTGTGGACATGGAACAGCTCATTCATGAATGTCACGCTAGCATTAGTGAGTCAGTGAGATGTACATTGTTTCTGCATGTAACAGCAGTAGTTTGATGAATAAAGGTATTGCTCTCCAGTTTGTGGTTTATTACGTGTGGCTTTACAAGTAGCTAATTCATCAACTCTTACCTTTTTGAAAAACAACTCAATGTGGCATCTGTTTTTTTTTAACAAACAAATAATGTATTGCTCTAACATTAGTTTTGCCTATACGTTCTCTTGCTGATAATTTTGGATAGTCTTTCATAACCTTATATGAATTTACATATGTCAGATATCACTGTTAAATTCATAACACATTTATTGGTGAAGATCTTTTATTTATTTGTTTATTTTAATAAACAAAAACCATTTTCAAAGAACTATAAATAGGGAAGAGCTATAATGGACAATGGCTGAGATAGCCTGAGAGGGGGCTTGTTTTGAGGATATGGAAGCACAGTTGGCTCTGTAGTTAATGTGTAGTCTAAGTTGTCACAGTGCTAGATTTTTAATTGTTACCTTTAGGTTTTCACATTGTTTTTGGTTTAATAATTGTGAAAACATCAACTGTAATGCCTGTAGACTGAAAAAAAACTTGAATTTTATAGTCACTTCAAAGCTCCAACACTCATATTATTAAGAATTTGACTCCAGGGGGGTACCATCAGAACCTCTGCAGACTTGCACCTTCATGTTTGTTTGTTTTTTAACCTTAAGCTCAATCTATGATGGCTATATGGAAATACAATTATACATAGTGGTGGTAAAACAGTCTTAAACAGATTACAAAGCAGCAAGAACCTAATGTTAAAGATGATATTTAATAACAGTGTATTTTTACTTAAAGCCAATTTACCTACCTTACTACAACTTTATATTTAAGTTGGCGCAGCTTGAGTTATACAATATATTGAATGTTATGTTTGTTCTGATAAAAGCTAAATTAACCTGCTGGATTTTTGAAGGGAGTTGGGTCACTTTATATCAACAAAAGAAACAAGGAGCTTAAAGTGAAACGAGGTGCGCTGTCCTTGGTGCTGAAGAGAAGAATCCTGAACAACTTTTGACTCAGGAATCTGAATCACTGACCTCAGCATCTACCCCTGTCCATCTTCCACCAATAACAAATAGTCTGCAGAAACATGATTCAGTTTCACATTTGTAGTTTTCACTACACATTAATTTCATTTACAGTTTTTATGAGTTAACGTTTTACACAAAATGTGATTAAAAGATATCTGATTCTTCATTAACAGTATTTTGATATTTGTTTACATTTTTATACCACTGCACAGGGAACAGCAGTGGCTGGAAAAATAATTCTACATGGTGTCAACCTGTACACTTGACCGTAAAATTCAATGTATTTGTATAGCGCCAAATCACAACAAAAGTCATCTCAGGACACTACATAGTAAGGTCTAGACCATACTATATGGTTATAGTATGGTTATACCTATAGAGAAAACCCCAACAAATCCCCCTTGAGCAAGCACTTGGCAACAACGGGCAGGAAAAGCCACCTTTACTGGAAGAAACCTCCAACAGACTCTGGCTCTTGGCCATACTGCCTCAACAGGTGAGTGGATAGTTCTCAGTCATCACCATCATGGAAAATAAGGCAAATGCACACAAAGTGTCTTAGAGCTTAGTCATCTGAGTTGTCTGTCTCTGCCAAGAACCTAAAACGCACTCCTGGTTGGTATCGCAGCTACGACGCAATAGAGCTCTGACAACAATCTTATCTACATATGAAACTACTAAATGTATCCCTACATTGTCTACAATACTTTACAGGGGTGGGATAAATTCCCCTTCTGGGAGGCCTCCCATATCCAGAAAATCGAATAAGTATACGAAATGCAAAGCTTTACCTCACCAGGCCTACCTGAAGCGTGAGTCTGCCCCTTGAAACTAGGCAGAGCGAGAGAAATTTAACCCTAAAGTAAAATAAAGTTATTAAAATCTGGATGATGATGATTTTGAAAACAGCACAACAGTTATAGGTTTACAACATATCAAAGCACAACTTAATGTATGGATAATTGCTCATTAATCTAATGACTAAACCCGCCCAGGTACTTCCACCATTTAAATTCAAACAAAGCCTTCAAGTCATCAAGAAATAATCTGATATCTTAAAAAAACAACAACTCAAGTCTATCAACTCTAGAGGAAAGGTTACAGTTATCTCATCCACAGTGGTGTGGACTCTGGTAAAGCTGACTGACCTTCCCTGATACAGCTGATACAGTCCTTTCAAGATCTCATCAAGTCAGTGCCAACTCTCAGGACCAAACAGGTTGGTGCAGACGTCTACAGCCGGGCTCCTCACTTCTGATGGGTCAGTTATGGTCAATACTGGTACGTAGATCAATACTGGAGCACACGCCCCAGTAAAAGGGGTCTAAGGATGCCTATGACATTGGTGCCAGCCTGCCCTCCATGGAGGACCTGTACACCTCAAGGGCCAAAAGGAGGGCAGAGAAGATTTCTACAGACCCCTCAGATCCTGTTAATTGTTAAAACTTTATTTGTCATTGCAACACAAACAGTTTGAACCCCTCCACTCTGGACAGCACTACAGGTCACTGTACGCCAAAACAACCAGACACAAGGACAGTTTCTGCCAATACACCGATGAACACTTGACCCATGACTATAACAGAGCGACAACCCTCCGTGCAATACCTTGTAATTATATTTTTGCATATGTATATACACATATTTTATAAGTACTTTATTTTGATTTTTACATTTTCCACATTCCTTTCGTTTTTTGGACATTCTTTTTGTTTTCGTTTTCTCAGTCTTGTTTACACATTATATATGCACATCAAGAGCCACTGTACCGTAGTCACATTCATCGAGTGGTCAACACACCGGACCAGTAAGAACGTTTACTTGTAATGAAGTAGTTTAAAATAGTTATTCTGGTACTTCCAGCAGAAGTCAATGAAGCCTACATAATTCAGAATAATTTCTTGCCAAGTGTGCTGTTCTTTTCTGCACCAAAACGGAGAACTACACCGTGTGCCAGCCGTCGCTCCTATTTTGAGTTCTCTAGTGGGTGGGGCTCTGATTTCGACCAATCACAAACACTTGAACACAGGAACTTCCTGCTCTGGACAGAAGAGACTGGGAAATTTTTGTGTGTGTCAGCTGGTCCCCAAGACTCTCAGTTACGTCAACTATCGATCAGGACAAGAAGTTAACTCGGACCATAAATTAACAACGAGCGTTAAAAATGAGTCAACCGAGGATTGGGATTCCAAGGCACGAAAATGACAAACTTTAACCAGCAGCCCACCTTAACTGCATTTTAGAGCACTGTTGGCAAGCCTCATGAAAGGGAGAGCTTTATTGTCCTAGCTAGCGGGCTAACGTTAGCTGTTTGTCTGGTGGAGTTATCGACATGGCTACTAGAGAGATGACTTTTCGGCAGAAATACCGTCGCCCACCATCGAGCATAAAGCAGGAGCAGGACGACGACTCGGACGTGGAGGAGTCTCATCTGGGGCCGAGGAGGACAGACGGGCTGGAGTCGCAAATCATTCACAGCGGACACTTCATGGTGTCCTCGCCCCACAGCGAGCACCCCCCGAAGAAAGGCTACGACTTCGACACTGTCAACAAACAGACCTGTCAGACGTATCGTTTTGGCAAGGCGAGCATGTCGCACTTCTCTATAGACGCCTCACTGACCAAACTGTTTGAGTGCATGACTCTTGCGTACAGGTGAGTTACAACACACCTCACCACCCCGTATTCACATG